GGGGGGGGGGGGGGGGTGGGGTGGGGGGAGGGGGGTGGCCCTCGGGTGTGGGGCGTGGCCACCCGCTGACCTCCCAGCTCCTCCCCGGCCAGGTCCCTCGCACCTCGGAGATTTACGTCCACCGAAGTGGCCGGACGGCTCGAGCCGCCCATGAGGGCCTCAGCCTGATGCTGATTGGGCCTGAGGATGTGACCAACTTCAGGAAGATCTACAAAACCCTCAAGAAAGACGAAGACATCCCTCTCTTCCCTGTGCAGACCAAGTACATGGATGTGGTCAAGGTAAAAAGAAAGTTAGCAGAAGGCGGGTGACCAGAGGTGGCGAGACATTTTCTCCCTGAACTGTTTCTGGGTTCTCTGGCCCTGAAGTCCTTGTTCCAGCCACCCCACTGGGCAGTGCAGTGGCCACAGCTGCCACACGTCCCGTCGGAAGGCTGTGGGTCGCAACCCTAACGTGTGTCGTCGAGACAGAGGCTGCGAGTTTGGCAAACCCCTGAGGCAGGTGCTAGGGGATCCTGCCTGTGGAGGCTCGTGTTGACTTGGCAGCCATTCGCCAGGTCAGGGCTGGTGACTGTGGGCCGCAGTGCTCAGGGCCCAAGTGGGCGGTTCTCCCCGCAGGGTCCCCCGCTTGTGGGCAGGCCGCGCTGTGCTGAATGCGGGGTGGGGGTGAAGCTCCCTGAGGCGGGGGGCCTGTGGCCCTGGGGAGGAGAGGCGCTTACGGCCAGGCTCCTTGCAGGCAGCGGCGTGGAAAGATCCAGGGGAGCTGGAATTCCAGGAATTGGGGCTGCAGGGAACTATCGTCCCCTGCCTCAGAGGAGTGTTGGCGGAGTGGGCAGAGGTGGCACCCAGAGGACCCGTGCTGGGGAGGGTTGGGAGCTGCCCAGGCTGCCCGGCTCCCCTCCCCACGCCTCGAGGCCTTTCCTGTTTTCCGGGCCGCCTGCCATGGCCCTTGACCCCTCAGACCCACCGGAGGGCGTTGCGACGTCTTGTCTCCGCTCAGCCATGCAGGAAGCTTACTTTGGACATACCTGTAGGCTGGCCTGCAGACCAGGGTGGGTTTTCGGTGGGTGGGACTGATCGGGACAGTTGCTGGGAGAGCTGGCTTGCTGACAGGGTGTGCACGTGTGTGACGCTGGCCCGTTGGGCTTTCATCAGGAACCGAGGCTTGTGCGCTTCGGTCAGACCTGCGCTGTGTCTCCCTGACCACTGATCTCAGGAGCTTTTGCGAACATAACGTTGCTTCCTGGAGTCCTACACCCTTTCTTTATCCAGTGAGCCTTCTGGTCCTGTCCCCCAGGAGCGAATCCGTCTCGCGCGACAGATCGAGAAAGCCGAGTACCGGAACTTCCAGGCTTGTCTGCACAACTCGTGGATCGAGAAGGCAGCGGCTGCCCTTGAGATCGAGCTGGAAGAAGACATGTATAAGGGTGAGCCCTGGGCTGGGTGGGGATTGAGGAAGGGCACGGCTGGCTTTTTTCTCCCCCCCTTGGCCTGGTTGAGACCATCACTGCTCGTCTGGGCCGTGTCAGGATGAGCCAGACGCCCTTTCCTTCCTGGCTGATGGGTCCTCGTCCTGGACGAGCCCGCCGTCCTTGGCCTTTGTTCCTGTCTTGCCTGCCCGTCTGGCCCCCTCAGCTGCCTCCTGAATGGTGGCCGGTGGAGGGCGGAGACAAAGGACGCAGACTCCGGCCCCCGGCCTGGGTGTGAACACTGGCCCATCCCTTCAACTGGCGGCCGCAGAGTCGGGAGCTCTCTGTTGTGCTCGGTTTCCTCGTCCATAAAACCACCTGCCTCCTGGGGTTGTTATGAGACTGATGGAGTTCAGGAGTGTAAAGCGCTCACGGCATTGTCTGGCAAGTAGAAAGTATTTGCTCTGTTCCAGTGCCATCCCTGTTGTTACTCCTACCCCCGCCTTCCAAGCTGACAAAGCACTTCCATGTCATCATCTCACTTGATCTCAGTTGACCTCAACATCTCAGTTGATAACCGGTTTCATGGCATGCTCAGAGCAGGAATTGCTACCTGTTTCCAGATGGGAGGTGGAGGCTCACAGAGGGATGTGGTGTGTGCCCGGGAACAGCTCTGCTGCCAGGCACTCCTGAGCCCCTACCCTGTACATGGCCGGAGGCTGAGGCTCCAGGGATGAAGCTGCCTGGCCCCTGCGAAGGACAGTCCAGGAGTCTAAGAAGTGCTAGAGCCAAATCCCGAGCCAATGACACCAAGGTTCGGGCCACTGTACCTTCCACCTCACCAGGGGTGCAGCTCAGCAAAAGTGCCAAAGTCAGAGTCCGAGGCAGACTTGCTGCTCAGCATGGAAGCCAAGAGCTAGCCTGGGGGCATGGTGACTAAGCTAGTTCCCCAGGAAGCTCGCGTTGGGGTGTGGGCTGAAGATGAGGGGCCCTGGCTTCCCTTCTCGAGGACAGGCTAGGCAGAGCCTGTGGGCTGCGTTGGCCTGCGCGTACTCTCACCCTGGGGGCTCAGTTGCTGAGTCATCAAGCTCCAGCTGGGCGTAAGCAGGCGGGTCATGGGAAGAAAAGTAAGCTTCGGTTAGGAGACGCAAGTTCGGAGACGTTAGCAGGGGACCTCTCTAAGCCTGAGTTGCCTCCTCTGCAACACGAAGACAATTCCAGGCTCACAGGGTTTTGTGAGGGAGAAATTTGGACAGAGTGATTCCAGGTGATGAGAGGGGATGGCACCTGCCAAGCTGCCACAGGCTTCTGCAGATGACTCTGAACCCTGCCTCCCCGTGGTAGTTGCAGAGGTTTTCAGAGCACAGGCCACAGTCAGCACCACCTTTTGTCTTGTGTCTCGAGGCGGGAAAGCCGACCAGCAGGAGGAGCGGCGCAGGCAGAAGCAGATGAAGCTCCTGAAGCGAGAGCTGAGCCACCTGCTGGCACAGCCGCTGTTCACCCAGGGCCCGAGGACCAGGTACCCCACGCAGGCAGGCAGGCCGCCCCCGCTCCTGGCTGCCCCAGGGCGTGGTGGCTCTGCCCTGAGCTGCCTCCACCACCAGCAGAAGCCGAAGAGGGGGCCCAGAGAGCCGCAGGAACAGCCGCGGCCAAGTGCAAGTGCCGACTGATGGGCCGGCCACTTGCGCTGGCGACCGGCCGTGGCGTCTGCTCCTGGTGACCTGTGAAAGCCCCTGGGCCACTGCTGCCCAGCCACTGCGTTCATTCCGCCGTACTTCGCAGCCCTTTCCCTCTGCCACCTCCCCTGGAGTGGGAGAGACCAAGCAGACCTGTGTTGTTTCAGAGTAAGTGTTCCGTGCAGCAGCTTAATTTTGCCGTATTCCAGTGTTTACGGGCTTTGGTGTTCAACTTGACTTCTTGAATTAAAACCGTGGTCAGAGCCAGTGTTATCCCGATTTTTTTTTTGGCTAGAAGAGGGTGGCAGTGCCAGTGGTTGAATTGGCTCAGTCATTTCCCTTGAGGGGGCAGGCACGGGGTCAGTCAACACCAGACAGCGTGGGCAGAGTGGTGGGAGTTGCTGCTGGGTCCTCGGCGCGGGCGCCGCTTCCCCCGATGACACCCCTCGGTGCCCTCCACTCACCTCTGGCTGCTGTCTCAGCTTCCGCGGGAGGCGGCAGGGATCAGGGCCCACAGTAGCCGCCACTGGACTGGTGAGCAACGCCTTTGGGATGCGGCCGAGCCTGCCTCCCCAACCGCACCCCCTCCCCGAGACTTCGTGCAGCCTCTCCCTCGGCCTGGGTGGGGGGCCTTTTGCCGTTCCACCCGGAGCACTGCTGGCGCTCCGTTGCAAGCCCCAGGAGGGGCGGTGCTGCTCCCAGGGCTCCCTTCACGGCCTGGGCGTGCTTGCCCGTAGCACTTGCCAGGCTTCCCTTGGCTGAGCTCCCGAGGTAAAAAGAGGTCCTCTAGGTGGGGGTGGCCTGGTGTACACATGTGCCGAGGGGACGTGAAGCCCCTGGAGCTGCCCAGCTTTCTCTGGGTGAGTTTCCACAGCATCCACAGCCATGGCAGAGGCACACATTTCTGCACGGCGGTCCAGGCGTCCAAACAGGTGTTCACCTGGGCACAGCATGGCCACGTAGGTCAAGGGTGCTAGGGATTTGAAGAGGGCACACAGGTGGACCTAGACACTCTCCGAGCCCAGGGACCCCATCTCCGTCAGCCTCACAGTTGGGGGGACGGCAGCAGGGCTCCCTCATCCTCTGAGGTGCAGGATGGCAGCCTAGCGTCTGCACTCGGGTTTAGGGGCAGAGTGTTGTTGACCAAATGCCAGGCATTGTCGAACGCGGTCATCTCACTGGCATTTAGTCCTCAAGGGTCTGAGGCTGAGTCTTAATACCCTCTTGCAGTGAAGCCCCCAGACAGGTTTACGGCGTAGGGCCAGCCTTAAGGAGTGCCGCTCGGCCAGTGAGGCGAGGCTTTGGCGGGGTCCTGGGGCAGACCTGTTGCCAGTCAGCAGGAAGCCCCCCCATACACAGAAGCCCCACGGGAGACCAGCATGCGTCCTGGCGCACGCCAGGCACCCAGCATGAAGCAGCCAGGTCAGGGCTGTGAAGGAGGCCAGCTTAATGCCGGGAAACGTTCTACCTACTTGCCCAGGGAAGCTGTCCGCATCCCGCAGGGCCTGGCGGCGCTGGCAGCCACTCACCCGTCACAGGCCCCTCCCGGCCCCACCTCCACCCAGGCGGCAACGTGTATGGCTCTTGGCCGTCTGACGGGTGCCCTGAAGTTTCCCCTGCTCCAGGGGCCGGTGTCCCTGCTGAGGTGGCCTGCTTCCCTCGGGGAAGGCGGGCGGGGCCGTGTCAGGCGGGGCAGCTGCTTTCCCGAGTCCTGTTCCATCTGAGCCCGTGCTCCGAGGGTAGGCATCGCCCCCACCTGGCAAGTGGAATCGGGGCCCGAAGAGGTGCGGTGACTCGACCAGATCACGCCGCCAGTAAGGGGATACTGAGGGATGCTGAGGTTTGGGCCCTGGCAGTCTGAATCCAGAGCCCTCCTGTTTGTGCTTAGAAGGGGACCTCAGTCAAAAGCAGGCCAGGATGCTCTTTCTGTGGCTGAACACGCCCACTGTCAAAGCTGCCTTGGGAAGGACAGAGGCACGTGCCGCCGCAAAGGCAAGTTCTCAAAGCGACCGTCCTTCCGACTTTGGGTCTGGAAGGAGATGGCTGGGAGGGGCAGTCATCCTTAAGTGTGACTGCCAGCACGACCGGCTGCACAGACCAGCAAGCTGGTGTTCACAAGTGCTTGGGCACGGCACCAGACCCCACAGAGGGCTTTTCCCTGGGAGGCCCAGGCCCAGGCCCAGAGTGAGGGCAGTGGGTGCGGAAAATGTGGGGGAGGAGAGGGCCCGGCCCAGGAGGTGACTTGGCCGCCTGCTCCAGAGCATGGGCCTCCTGACGCTGAACGGACAGGCTCCTCCCCGCAGGGCCCCTGAGTGTGGGCGGCCTTCTGGCCTGCAAGCCTGGCGTGGGCCCGCCTCATGGAGGCCCTCCTCCGGCCGCGCTCCAGAGAGCTCTGTGGCGGACAGCCCGTGTGCGCCCCAGGCGCGGGAGCAGCCGCCGGCACCGGCTTCCACGGGAAGGAGCCAGCCCCGCTGCTGCTCACCTCGCTCGGAAGCGGGGATTCCCCGGAGACTGTCTCCCACCACGTGTCCCCTCTTCCAGTGACCTTGCCACAGACCCCAGCACTCCTGCAAATGCAGAGGCCAGGGTCAGGGCTACGTTGCTGTGCAGAAGTGACAGCATCCCTCGGCTGGAGCCCTGGGATCAGGTGCCAGCCAGAGGCGGCACGGGAGTCAGGGGTCCTGCCTGGAACAGAGGCCTCCGCCGCGGAGGCGTGGCACGAATCTGACGTGTGTGTCAAGAGGCGCCTCAGCCCACGCCTGTGCGTGGCCAGGCTGCCTGCAGACTCACAGCAGCACCAGTAGACTCCAGGGCGTCCCTGCCGGCGAAACCTGGGGGAAGGTGGCCTTGGACCGAGGGGCCCCAAGGGCAGGTCTGCACCCGCACCTCCACCTCCTCCCGCGGAGGAAGAGGTTGTGACTGCCCGCTGGTGTCCCTTCCGAGGCCCAGGGATGCCTGGAGGGTCCGAGGCAGCAGACCGAGGCTCCCTAAGGGGCGCGTCCGGGGATCTGAACCAGGGAGCTGCTGGCCGGGAGCACCAGCAGCTTTCACAGTGGAACTCTTCACTGCCAAGGCCCAGGGCTGCCTGGCTCTCCCCTACCCCCTTGCCAGCCACAGACAGGTGGGCAGAGCAGCTGGGGCCCGCGCCTCTGCCCGGCTGAGCATCTTGACCATGGGAATGCGCCGGGGAGATGGCGCAGCTGCCGCTTCCTGGTCCCACCCTAAGTGCAGATTTTGGCCAGATCCCGGGCTTTCTCAAGCCTCTGTTGGGGGCTGGTCACAGGACCCTGGAGTCCCGCTGACCGGCAGTGAGGGCCCCAAGAGAGGTAGAAGGCCCCAGCAGCTTGAGCTTTGTGCTGGAGGCTGGAGGCCCCTCTTTGGGCTTGGGCACAAAGGACTCTCTTGCCCTTGAGTTGGGGCCGGAGGAAGTGGTGGGGATGTGGTAGCCGTCCGCAGCCCTCGCGCCCACACGGACCTCAACTGGCTGTGCACTGGAGCCACACGCACAGAGTCCACGCCACCGGCCGGGCTCTGCAGGCCTGGGGCTCCGCCGGGTCAACAGCGGACCCCAGGCGCTCCCTGCAGAGCGGCTCAAAGCGTCAGCACAGGCAGGAGCTCCTCCCGGTGAAGACACAGGTCCAGGGAGGGTGGGTGACCACGAGGTCTCAGAGGGAACCGGGCTGCAGGCAGAAAGCCTTCGGCCCTCCATCAAAACAAACACAAACGCTGGGAAGACTGAGTCACCACCGTCCGCCGTGGGCGGCCGCGCTCCCAGGGGCTTTGCCCGAAAGGCTGAATGCTTTCTAGCTACGGTCTGAATCGCTCAAGAAACGGAAAAGCCGAGTGTTCCATTCAGAATGCAATCCCGTGGGGGCGGGCTCCAGTGCAGGCCCGGAATTAATCAGCGCTGGTCGGCCGCGTAGAGGATGTTGTAGTGGGACGTTTTATAGAGCAGGTACACGGAGGGGGCGGCGGCCTCGGGGAACGTGTGGTGGTTCAGCGCCGTGTCCATCTCGTCCACGTACTCCACCTGCAGGGCGATGCTCAGCGCCTGCGACAGGGCTGTGATCTGGATGTGGTCGCACTCCATGGCCATGGGCTCCACCTCCTGCCAAGGGAACGCGCCAGCGGCTGAGGACGAGGCCAGCGGGGCCGGCTCAAGCCACCCGCACGGCCCCGGCCCGGCCCCTGTGCCGGGAGACGGCCCCCACCACCACCCTCAGGCAGGGACCGGCCGACTCGGCCGAGGAGAGGCCGATCGGTCAGGACCGCGCAGAGCTGGCCCCGAAGGCAGCCTCGCCCGAGGGAGGGTGGGCGAGAGGGAATGGGCAGGTGGGCATCAAAGCGTCGCAGGCCCAAAGGCACCCGCCACCCAGAGCCCACGCCCGAGTGTGGACAGAGGCCAGGCCAGTGTGCGGGCGAGCGGGGCCAGAGCAGAGGAGGGGCCAGAGAGGCCGGGCCATGGCGGGTGGCAGGCGTGGCGCCAGGAGAGGGCACCTGCTGCTCAGTGCCCGGGGCTGGATCTTCTGCCGACGGCCACATGAAGCCG